AGCTCCGTGCACATCACCACCACCGAGTGTGTGAGTATCGTGCGCGTGCACCTCACGCTTACGCAGTCTCCGATCTCTCTGATCTTACCTCTGCTTCGATCCTTTCTTTCCTTTTTCCATAAACATCAGATCTAGAGGATATTCTGGCTCCCTCCTATCATGCTGTTTAACTCTTCCACCTTTTCCTCATTCCTTCCCGCCCCCCTGCTTTCAGGACGTCCTCCGCTTTCGTTTTTTTTCCACGCCGCATTTTTGCTTGACAGGCGGTCAGCTTTCTGAAGTTCCCTGTCGAGGTCCCGGCTGTGAAATCGCCATCATGGCTTTAGCTGCACCAGAATGTCACCTTTGCTGCTGGTGTTTAACTGCTGACCTGTGATGCTCTTATAATGATCATTATAATCTTATCTTAAAACACATCAAAAGGGCAGTTCGCCCCAAAATAAAAAAATATATGTTTTAGATATGCTGTTTGGCTATTTATCCATCTAGATTATTGTAGCGAGAGTTGCCTAGCGACGGAGATATCGGGCGTAGAAAGGAGAGAAGACTGACTAACAGTAGCTAACAGTATCGAGCTATTATTAACTAAGTATTGTTGCTATTTGATAGTGTTGGTAGCTGATGCTAACAGATACTGTAAGCTCACCTAGTGCTAGCTAACGTCAGAGCTCAGCTGAGGAAGACGCCTTTGATCATGAGCTTCACAGTGATACGGTTGGTGCGTGGCGTTCGGGGGAAGGAAAATAGTTCTTAAATTAAACTGCACACTGAAACATATGCTTGTTTTATTTTGGGGTGAACTGCCCTTTTAGGGACATTCAGGATAGCAGCCCCTCAAAAGGGGCTGCATATGAAAACAGCTTAAATATAACATTTGAGGAGCTCTGCCCCAGCTCCCTCTTGTGGGGGTGCACCTCCTCCACACGGTTTGGGCTCCGAGGCCCTCACTCATGTCCCTGTTTCCATCCCCGCGCCCCTGCAGTTTGACGGCACCATCCTCCTCATCACGCTGCTAGTTCTCTTCCTGCTGCTGGCCCTTCTCTTCATGTGGTGGTTCTGGCCTCTCTGCTGCACCGTGGTGAGTCCTTCCCCTCCACGTCCCTGGAGCTCCCATTAAGGTTTCTTTAGATTATCATAGATCTAACCTGAATTTACCCATGTGCCTCATTACTAAGACTGTAGTAATCGCTAATGTATCAAATCATAGAAAGAAACATGGACTGTTCACCTTCCACTCAAATGGTGATGGTTTTTATCAAGTTTTGGTGCATTCATTTTTAGTTTTCTTCTCCTGTTACTTTTTCTATAGGTCATCAAGGAGCCGCCACCACCCCCCCC